GATTGTACATAGAACAATATCGGACCTCTGAAAAGTATAAGCATGCATATGTACTCAGTACTTGGTTTGGGCCCCTTTTGCAGCAATTACTGCCTCAATGCGGCGTGGCATGGAAGCTATCAGCCTGTGGCACTGCTGAGGTGTTATGGAAGACCAGGATGCTTCAATAGCGGCCTTCAGCTCTTCTGCATTGTTCGGTCTCATGTCTCTCATCTTTCTCTTGGCAATGCCCCATAGATTCTCTATGGGGTTCAGGTCAGGCGAGTTTGCTGGCCAATCAAGCACAGTAATCCCACGGTCATTGAACCAGGTTTTGGTGCTTTTGGCAGTGTGGGCAGGTGCCAAGTCCTGCTGGAAAATGAAGTCAGCATCCCCATAGAGCTCGTCTGCGGAAGGAAGCATGAAGTGCTCCAAAACGACATTTGAAGCCCATATCCAGGCTCCATCTGTGTGTGGTGGCTCTTGATGCACTGATTCCAGCCTCAGTCCACTCCTTGTGAAAGTCCCCAACACTTTTAAATGGCCTTTTCCTGACAATCCTCTCCGGGCTGCGGTCATCCCTGCTGCTTGTGCACCTTTTTCTTCCACACTTTTCCCTTCCACATAACTTTCTATTAATGTGCTTTGATACAGCACTTTGGGAACATCCAACTTCTTTTGCAATTACCTTTTGAGGCTTTCCCTCCTTATGGAGGGTGTCAATGATGGTTTTCTGCACAACTGTCAGGTCAGCAGTCTTTCCCATGATTGTGATTCCTACTGAACCAGACTGAGAGACCATTTAATGGCTCAGGAACCCTTTGCAGGTGTTATGGCTTAATTAGCTGATTAGAGTGGAACACTTTGAGCATAGAATATTGCACATTTTCACAATATTCTAATTTTCTGAGATTGTGGATTTGGGGTTTTAATGAGCTTTAAGCCATAATCATAACAATTATGACAAATCACGGCTTGAACTATCTTGCTTTGCATGTAATGAGTCTATCTCGTATATTAGTTTCACCTTCTAAGTTGCATAAGTGAAATAAATGAACTTTTGCACGATATTCTAATTATTCGAGTTTCACCTGTATGTGTAAGACTGTGAAAAGCCAAACGGCAAGCAGTGCAAAATGGAAACATAATCAGAAAATTGGCCAAAAAAAATGTATAAGCAAATAAGCTGATAATTCATATGTAATGTCTAACTGCAAAGATTTATTTAATATGTAGCTATTTCAAATTATTAAATCACTATATGATTTAATGTCCTGTAGAGAATCAGCCAGAATTCAGACACTAATGATTCATATATTGTATGATTCTTTGCTCATAGCCTACTGCTACTAAGATTCACCCACTTTTTTGTCGAAGTTAGTAAAAATGATTAAGAATATTAATACAACTGGGTGAAATATTTCCATCTATGCACTGCAACCTCTGAGTGCTCTTGCCATAAGTAAGTATTTTAGTCATGTTTCTGAGATTACAGTGTGGGAATGGTTCCCAAAACTGTACTCGGGATCCATTTTCCAGGTCTCATCATAGACTCGCTGGTGAATCAATACATACAGTATCTCACAGAAGTGAGTACACCCCTCACATTTTTGTAAATATGATATCATTTCATGTGACGACACTGAAGAAATTACACTTTGCTACAATGTAAAGAAGTGAGTGTACAGCTTGTATATCAGTGTACATTTGCTGTCCCCTCAAAATAACTCAACACACAGCCATTGATGCCTAAACCGCTGGCAACAAAAGTGAGTACACCCCTAAGTGAAAATTTCCAAATTGGGCCCAAAGTGTCAATATTTTGTGTGGCCACCATTATTTTCCAGCACAGCCTCTTGGGCAGGGAGTTCACCAGAGGTTGCCACTGGAGTCCTCTTCCACTCCTCCATGATGACATCACAGAGCTGGTGGATGTTATAGACCTTGCGCTCTTCCACCTTCCATTTGAGGATGCCCCACAGATGCTCATTAGGGTTTAGGTCTGGAGACATGTTTGGCCAGTCCATCACCTTTACCCTCAGCTTCTTTAGCAAGGCAGTGGTCGTCTTGGAGGTGTTTTTGGGGTCGTTATCATGTTGGAATACTGCCCTGCGGCCCAGTCTCTAAAGGGAGGGGGATCATGCTCTTCTTCAGTATGTCACAGTACATGTTGGCATTCATGGTTCCCTCAATTAGCTGTAGCTCCCCAGTACTGGCAGCACTCATGCAGCCCAAGACCATGACATTCCCACCACCATGCTTGACTGTAGGCAAGACACACTTGTCTTTGTACTCCTCACCTGGTTGCCCGCCACACACGCTTGACACCATCTGAACCAAATAAGTTTATCTTGGTCTCATCAGACCACAGGACATGGTTCCAGTAATCCATGTCCTTAGTCTGCTTGTCTTCAGCAAAATGTTTGCCGGCTTTCTTGTGCATCATCTTTAGAAGAGGCTTCCTTCTGGGACGACAGCCATGCAGACCAATTTGATGCAGTGTTCGGTGTATGGTCTGAGCACGGACAGGCTGACCCCCCACCCCTTCAACCTCTGCAGCAATGCTGTCAGCACTCATACGTCTATTTCCCAAAGACAACCTCTAGATATGACGCTGAACACGTGCACTCAACTTCTTTGGTCGACCATGGCGAGGCCTGTTCTGAGTGGAACCTGTCCTGTTAAAGCGCTGTATGGTCTTGGCCACCGTGCTGCAGCTCAGTTTCAGGGTCTTGGCAATCTTCTTATAGCCTAGGTCATCTTTATGTAGAGCAACAATTCTTTTTTTCAGACCCTCAGAGAGTTCTTTGCCATGAGGTGCCATGTTGAACTTCCAGTGACCAGTATGGGAGAGTGAGAGCGATAACACCAAATTTAAGACACCTGCTCCCCATTCACACCTGAGACCTTGTAACACTAACGAGTCACATGACATCGGGGAGGGAAAATGGCTAATTGGACCCAATTTGTACATTTTCACTTAGGAGTGTACTCACTTTTGTTGCCAGCGGTTTGGAAATTAATGGCTGTGTGTTGAGTTATTTTGAAGCCACAGCAAATGTACACTGATATACAAGCTGTACACTCACTACTTTACATTGTAGCAAAATGTCATTTCTTCTGTGTCGTCACATGAAATGATATAATAAAATATTTACAACAATGTGAGGGGTGTGCTCACTTCTGTGAGATACTGTATATATTTTTATAATGTTACTTGTATACCTATGCTCATACATTAATATCTGTCCGTTTGACTTAATGGTTAAGGCTTGAAAATATAGTGCTGTAAGATGAGTCAATAAACAATATGGCATCTGATTCTTTAATTTTAGCACTCTATTAATCATTAGTTATATTGTAACAGCAGTTCTTAATTTCCTGGTTCATTTTACCCTTTTCTCTTACAAAAAAGCTGTATAGAAAAGTGTCCACAATGACCCTCTCTTTAACGTGTCTGTTATTTATAAAATATCTAAAATTGTTTCTGACACATAAAGTAATGTCCTGTTTTTGATGGAAATGTGAGGGGACAGAGAATAAATTATTTATTTGCAAACATTTGAGGAAACATTGAGAAAATGTCAGCGATCTGGAATGAAGAGTAAAAGAGGGATTCAAAGGTGGTGTAGGCAAAAAACAATTATTTTACACAGATAAAATCTTTACACATCCCATTACTCTGAATAATAAAATGGATTCACTTAAATGGTAATTGCATTTTAGTTTGAAAATTCATTATTGCTTCCTCCTTCTCCTGACCTCTGCAGCAAAACAAGTTAGTACCACAATGAGGGCTCTGCAGAAATCCTCTATTTACTGCCCAGCCTGACTTGAGGGAGTGCAAAGTGTTCCAGCTCTGTGTAGTTCCAATGTATTCATGTGCCAAGCTGCAGATGGAATCTGGCCAGATTAGCTATTATATTCTCTTTGGCCATAACCCATTTCCAGCTCAGCACATACATGTAATGTTAATTCAGCACATGACCTGGAAAGCACTACACCAGCCTAATCAGGGCAGACAGGAATGGGAGGAAAAGCCTAATAAGGTACAATGTGCTACCAGTTTTTTTTTTTTTTTCTTCTACTGAGGTCAGGGCAAAAGGGCAGTGTTAAATTATAACTAAAGGCAATACTTTTTTTTTCCGATTTGGATACAGTGGTGAGGGGTTAGAACCTTTTGATGGATTTTTACTGCCGTATGTGCACCTCTAAGGGAGACAGGTGCCCCCTGTTAGGGAGATTCACTCTCTAATTGTTCTGATCATCAGTGTCACTGGGGATAAAGAGGCTCAATTCGAAATCTTGAGTTGTCACCGGAACAGGAATAGGGCGGAAATCTTCCAATGTGGACACTTGTTCCCATGACAACTGTCTTAAATGGTGTTTTCACATTAGAAACATATCCTCTTACTTCCTGTCGAGTCTGCAGAACAGGAAGTGAAGGGAAATCTTTCTAATTACACACAGATGCCAAATAAACTCCCATACTCTAATCAGGTTAAAAAAAGGTTTGCTTTAGCTATACTATCATTTTTCATAGCAAAGTACCTATCTTTTAGCCAGTTCCCTTCTGAAATTACTTACACCCCACAAAACCTTAAATTATCTGAAAGCAAAAGCCCTGTAGAATATAAAGATGACAGATCTGTTTAAATTGTCTATGTCGCACAATATATCACATAAGACAACTTTATCAAGATATATTTTGATTATTATATTTTCCATCACTTCTTGTTCCTGTGACACCACAGGAAATGAGGAAAAAGCATCCCAACAGGGAAGAGACAATATAGCAGCAAAAGCAATAGCAGCAAAACATAACAGAAGTTCAAACATTCCCCACTTTATGCAAAACTAGAAAGGTATTGGCTGGAACAATGTCTTAATTACAATGATCAAATATTTTATGTAAAATACATTTTTATATCCAGATCAGTATTTCTAGGTAAATATATTTTCCTGATAGAGTACACTGTTGCAAATGTGTTGACATTCAAGCCATTTATATTTGTTTCTAGATACAAACATAAAGAGTGGAAGTCTCTCCCCTTCTCAACAGCTTGGTGTTAATTTGGTTACCAGGTAATTTTTTTATCAATCGATCTTCTATGTTCTTCTGCTTCCTGTAAGATATAGTTGTAGACACTCCAGTCAGTAATTAGCGGGTAAGTGCATTCACACTTAGCAGCCCTTTTAACCCTTAAAGCAAGCAGGTCTACTGGTACTAGGTTTCCCTAGGACTTTATACATAAATCTATACACTCTGACTGTAGAATCACAAGTGGACCCAAAGTAGAAGAAAGTAAATGTACTGTACATCAGTGGAAGATAGTAGATGAAATGCTTTTGAGAGTCGGTGGCTGGCAGAAGACAATAGAGAAATGTGAAAACTTAACCAAGGGTCAGTAATAGAAACAAGCAGAGTATCCAGCACACTTGGCCAGCAGGAAACCCTATCACAAGCACAGAGGCAAAGGGAAATCCTGTTTAAATAAAATACCTCTTTACCCAGGGGCCAATCCCAGAGCTGGGGGCATGTGGCCCAATGGTGTATGAGTAAACCCTAGGGGGAACTGGGAGGCTGCATTCCAGCAACTGGTATACTAGCTGAGAATAGGAAGAGTGGGGCTGCAGCCCATTGCCTGGCAGCCACTACTCAGAGGAAGGTGAGGTGGAAGCAGACAAAGGTGGCTTCAGGCAGATGGTTAAGTATGCCATCTGACACTTTCCCATTATTATCCTCACAACTTTAGTTTAATGCTACAGCTATTACAGTTGGCAAAAATAACAATTTATCAGGATTTATATTTACCACTTTAAAGGCAGAGTACTGTTGCCTTAATACTATGCCACTACAGATAAACAATGTCCCTATCTGTGCAGAAACACTTACTGCCTTTTGTTGAAATGTTGAAACATCCATGTTTCACATTTGGCTTCCCCTATTCCTGAGCCATACAAATTCAGGTTAAACCTGGTAACCTCTGGTTCCCAAAGACGGAAATATCTCCTTCAGCCACCAGATGGTTCTGTGCATACAGAACCATACAACGTACCATATTGGTAAGAAAATGTCACCCCCAAGACATGCTAGGGTATTAAAATACACTTAACTCCCTTTATCTCATCAGAAGATCATGATTCATGTCAAAATGTATTCAGGTTGTTGGGCTTGAAATGCAGTTAACTGCATACTGAGGATCTCAAAATAAAAAACCATTACACCATATTTGCACATATTTATTTCAAGCTAATGCAAAGGTATTTTTGGGTTGAATCTGGAGTGAGCTCTTATGTTAAAGTGTGCTACTAGACAAGCCTTAGGCAAAAGTGAAGATTCTGCAATATACAGAAATAAAACTGGTCTGTAAGCTGTAAGGGCTGAAGAACTAGATATATGGTACAAAGACATGTATAAGCATGCAGCAGTAGGCTGGCAATAATTATGTAAAATATATAGCATGCAAACTGCACTTAAAGTAGGTAGGACAAGTAGTAGAAATACAAATGTAGAAGCTGTCTGTCAGAGTCAAGTAAAAGGCTTTTGTTTGAGCAGAAATGTCAAACTAAGGTCACTAAGTGTAGAGGGGTTGGATAACATAGGCCTATCAGTGGCTGCCTACAGTCATCAGTACTAGGTGGCTTCTAGTTGTATGGTGTTGTAGGCTTATTTAGATAATAGGGGCAGTAATATTAAAAGATGTGGTATGTACAAATATTGTACATTATGAATGCAATAACAGAAGGTAGGACCAGTAGTACAAATACAACTGTAGGAGCTGTCTGTCAGAGTCAGCAAAAAAGGCTTCTGTTAGAGCAGGAATGTCAAACTAAGACCTTTAGGCCACCTAAAACCCTTGTATTCCTTCTTTGTTGCCATCATCCATTTTTAGAATGGAAATAGAATTAAAACACAAAATAGCTTACAATATTATTATTATATAAGATTGATATAGTGCCAACAGTTTGTGCAGTGCTTTTACTAAATGGGAGGAGACAGTGTAGTTGCAATACAGTTTCAATACAGGAGGGTTAGGAGTGCCCAGCTCGTGAGAGCTTTCAATGTAGTATGTGGGGCAAGTGATACAAAAGGTAATAATTGTGTGGGATGACTTAATGGAAGTAAAAAGACAGTTATTATGTAGAGATTGGATAGGTTTCCCTGAAGATATGAGTTTTCAAGGATCACCCACATTATTTTCTGAGTAATTCAGTAATGATGTTTTATACTTTTATTAGGGTTCATATTTTAAATTGCAATATCTAGTACATAAAATTGATAACTAAATGTTAACAAAGTTGTTTTTTTGTGTGTTTTTTAATAGTATTTGTTGCCAGAGTGCTAATTGTCAGTAGACATGATGTCGCCCCTTTGTATAGTGCTACACTTGATCTCACTTGAGTCTGGCAGATCCACGGTGCCCCGCCAAGGTCCTTCTTGCCTCTGTGCCCCAAAGCATTTTATGACCTGCTATGGTGGTAGTTCTGCTTCTGTGTTACTGGTTACATTTTTGGTTCCATATTTTTTGACATTTAGAAATTCATTTTAAATATTATTTATTAAATATTATAGTAAGTATTTATGTTATTTTATCCAGGTATGGTACCCATTTAAATGCCTTGGGCATCAGCAGTGAACAAGATCTTACACATCTACTTCTGCAATGTGAGAATTTCCTTCAACAACAGCAAGCAGTTGTTACCTCTCCCCTGAGTATCCTTTTAACGAAATGGCTGAGCTAGTACCATAATTTAGTGAAACTTAAATGCTATCTAGGAATCTGAAGTTTGCTCAGGTTTCCCTTATTTGAGTTTATATTCATTTCATATGGACTGTAGCTTTTTGCCACTTTTTGAGTTTTGAATCTTAGTGATAGAAGTGGGGAATCCACAGTGTGTGTTTGTGTTGAAAAGCAATACCAGCATGAGATATAAAAGTCTTTGTTAGTCTCTTAGCTGTGTGTAATTCAGTGCTCTGAGTACAGTTGTAAAACCATTTTCAAATTGCATTAAGGTTTTGAGGGTTGCTTTCATCTTTCTTCTTCGTTGTAGAAAACATTAATCCAGAGAACACTGGAACTGTTAGTTATCCTTTAGGGGACCCATTCACACTTTGCTGTCTTGTGCAGTGTGTTAACCCACATGCATTAACACACATTGGGGGTGATTTACTAACCTAAACACACACACACACCAGGTGTGTGTGATTTTCACACAGCAAAACGTATTTATCAACCAAAAAGTCTCTAAAAGCATATTTCCACTAATGCCATATATGGAAAAATCATGCACATGATGCATATATAATGCTGCTTCACAGTTTAGACAAAAATGGTTAGCTCATGCATTTACATTCCTGCATTCATCAGCGCAAGCAACATAACATAGAGCTAATTTACACCACATTACCTTGCAATTCATTGCAGAGCTTTGCACAACACACCTGCTGGGTGTGTACACACTACAAAGGTGTTTCGATTCCTCCCATAGATCATGCTGGGAGGGAACGCACTACAGAGGTGTATACACGTTCGTGGTGTGTTTAAAAGGTTAGTAAATCAACCCCATTGTGTCATACATTACCTTGCGTTCCATTAAAACAGCCCATTAATTTTGAATGGACTGCCAATGCACAATAATGGACAAAACAAACTATATGCAAAAAAAAAAAATGTTTTTGATACTGCACAACTCAATGTACAGTAGTATGTTACTGTGCATTGTTGTGTGCTGCAACACAAGTACGTCCAAGCTGTGTTGTCTTGAATGGCACCACAATGGGCTAAAGTGCATTAGCATGCATGAACGCAGTGCACTGCAACACAAAAGTCTGAATTAGCTCTTGTTGCTGATCAATGTGATTTATAACGCTTTCTTCAATTCACAATTCATTCTACAACCCAACTTAGCTTTCAGTTTTTGGGACATGCTGGAGAGTTAAACCTCCCAACAGCTTTTAGGTCACTCAGACTCTTAAATACTGTATAAGTATTTGAATTCACAGTTGGGCACATAAGCTGTGCAGCTTTTACAAAGATGTCCCGCGTGGGTTTGCAATTTATTTTATATTATACAGAAAACATTTAAAGGAGTTGGTACACTTTACGGTGAACAAGTGCACCCAAAGCTCCAAATTGAAGGGCAATAGAACCAGTAAATGGGGCAGGAGAATTTCAACATTGAAATACCCAATATATAAAAGAAGCCACCTAAAATGATTCAGCCACCAGACTTCTCTTTTAACTGAACTATTTCTGGGTGTATGGACCCCTTAAAAGTGCTCACTCATCAGATCGATACTTTTCTGACACCTTCCCGGTGTACTTTGGACATTTTCATGTAGCAGTATACATCTGCCCATCAGCATTATAACTAACCGCAAATGTTATTGCCTGAACTCACCATATGGTGAAAGTATCTCCATTGTGAAACATGAACAGATTGTGTTCATATCATAGTGTATGAACCTGAATTAATTGCCAATTGGAAGTTTAAGCTCTGACTTAAAGAATTAAAGTGACACTCAGTTCTTAAATCTTAAAAATGCATTCAAGTAACCTAACTATTAACAAAAATGTGTCTTATTTGTGTATCACGTGGCTGTAGATCCTCAAATCATCTCTGAATTGGTGCTGACACTGTCTTCCTTCTGGAGGGTTGCTACTTTTGTTCCCCATGGTCCCTGTGTGTGTTGTAAGGTAGTCACCGCTCCAAGCTCACTCCCATGATAAACTATAATCTCAGGTTTAGTTAGCCGATTTATTATAACACCCTAACTAAGGGAGGCTATGGAGCTCAGCTGCGGAACCCCGTTCCGTTTCACACACCCGAGACCTTCGGGTATTGTGCAGCAATGAATCTCGCCACTAGGTGTTGCGCATCATTGCACCAATCTCCCAAGAGTAATTTACCTGCCTGGCCCTAGCAACTAGCGTGTTCCCTATGGGTCTCTTGTCTTCATGAGCAGTAGGTTATATGATGCAGGTAACGGAGGTGGTGTGGTAAGCAGGGTATGAGAAAGAGTAATAGCGGAGCAATTACTATAGGGAAGTTATTAGGCAGGTGAGTATACCGCACTGCACCTGGCAGGCGGATCAGTTACTGTAATGCTAGGAGCGATATACACAATAACGATCAGTTCAATTCACAATCCAGTTTTGCTAGTAATTAGTATTTATCAAAGTTCTGACAGTATAGCAACTCAGTAACAGTTCACAGTCCCTGGTTGTACAACAAGCACCGCCAATGTTTTACCACCGGATGGCAGTGGAGAGCTACCCAGTATACTTGCAGTTTAGTTGTTTCAAAGGAAGCTGATCCTCTCCATAGACCAGTGAGTCCTTGTTTGAATGAAGAGGCTGCAGAGTACTGCCAAGGATCTGCTCGAGCTGTGAGGGGATGTGAAGGCTCTGTGAGAAGAGGTATGGTAGAGAGCTCCGCTGTGCTGCGAGGCCAGTGAAGGTCTGGCGTCTGCATTGATTGCTGGAACGCCAGGCAAGAGAAAGATTCGGGCTTAAGAGCAGGAGGGGGCGGAGCCGCGTGATGTCATCGGCCCGGGGGCGGAACCCCGTGGCGTGTCCGTGACGTCACACGGGTGAGCCTCCGGGAGCCGTTACATTTATATTGAAATTATAGTCTAACACAGGAGTGAGTTTGGAGCGGTGGCTACTTTACAACACACATAGGGACCATGAGGAACAAAAGTAGCCACCCTCCAGAAGGAAGGACAGTGTCAGTATGAATTTAGAGATGATTTGAGGTTCTACAGCCGAGTGATACACAAATAAGATACATTTTTGTTAACAGTTAAGGTACTTTAATGCATTGTTAAGATTTAACTCCTGAGTTTAGTGACAGGAAAACGCTGTAATGAAAAGTATACTGGAATTGGAAAAGTAAGAAAAGGTATTGAAATAATTTTAATACATGGCAAACGTTCATATTTTTATAACGGTATTTTCACTTGGTCATATTCAGCAAACCTACTTTGGGTTTAGTTTGTAAAGACACAATTCTAAACAAGAGCTGAATATTTGCCGTAAGCGAAAATCCAAATTCCATCTAAAACTTCCTTGACTGCTCTTGCACCCAGGGTGTTTGCACGGAGGCTATTCTGGTCATGACTGGTTTGCATCTTCTGTGTTTTTGATAATGTCAGGAGACAGTAAAAAAACATTAACATTTCTGCAGAAATTTTCCAGTCTCCTAGTCTCAGCATATCTCTGGCTGCCACGGCTTCACATTTCTGTAAGTAATCTTGTAAATACTAGCAAGAAAAATCTAAAATTCATTGTGTTAGAAAGGAAATTACAGTTTTATAAAAGCACTTCTGCTTGACTGCTTTGACTATATTTGTTACGATCGCTATTGTATTCATATATGCTAAGGGGAAAAAAATTGAAACTCAGTGACTATTACTATTAGCTGGTGTGTTGTGGGTGATTTAGAAATATGTTTGCCAGATCAGAACTTTAAAGGGAAACTATGATTTTTTTTTGTAATTCTAGTGGAATGTTTTTTTGAATGTTTATAATCAGATCATTTTTACATGTTTTTACTACTTGCATTAAATCATTATTTCATTGAGGGAACGCAGGAATAGTAGCAAAGCGTAGAAAATTGAGCTTTACTGGTGCCTTCAGGAAGTCTGGACACTGGCAAAAACATTAAGCATTTGGATGTCCCAATTGCCTCTCAATAACTTCTGTTCCTGGGTACCTTAATAATTGATAAAGAATACAGGACTTTTGTACTTACTGTAAAATACATTTCTTTAAGTTCATTAAGAGATACAGGTTCCACCTCTGTGTTTGTAATCTACTACTAATATATGTCTTTTCTACAAAAGTAGAGAATGATAGGAGTGGGAAAGGTTATACCTGACTGGCTAACTTTTTTTTGTTTGCCAGTGCCCAGTTCCTCCTATAGGCGGCAGTATTAACCAGTTGTCTCTAAATCACTTCTAAACCTATATTCAAGAGAGAGCCTGTTTTTTAAGTCATAACCATCGATAAATAAATATGTTCGCAACTACTATCTATCCCTTTTATAGTCAGCCTCTACTTTGCTTGGTTCACTTGATAAGAGGATATAGAAGCAGTGTATACAAACTTTTCCCTACAGAGCCAAGAACTTATCTGGGGGCAGAGGGAAGGTCCTTAGCCTCATGACACTGACCGGCACAGAGCTTACAGTGGGCTTTCTCAATAAAGATGCAGCGGGCAAATAGAGGGGCGGTAAACTATCAGACCGGGTTAGACACCTAGGTGGAAACGTTCTTGGGCATTTGTACGCGCGTGTTTTGCGTGCAGTTATTTGCACGTTTATGTGCATTTTGCATATTTTGATGTGCGCTTGTACACGTGTATATAAGGGCACACATTTTGACTGGCGGCTTAGGAAACATTGCTGGCAATGAATGAACACATGTACAAAAAAACTGTACAAAAAAAAACGCACAAAAAAATGTACAAAATAGGTCTGCCGCATGTTTTCGGGTGTTTTCATTGAAATCTATGGGGCACAAATGTGCTGTTAATCATCCAAAGAAGCTCATGTATGTTTTCGGGCATTTGGCTTTCTTGGGTTTCTTGCTGGTGTTTTGCTGCCCAGGTGTTGGGCTTTTTTTTTGCCAACTGCTCAAAAACGCCTAGGGGTGAACCAGGCCTTAGTAGAAGAGTTGGTGGGCTATTGTAATGCACCGAGCTGGTTAACGAGGATCTCAACTGCGGAGGTGTGTAACATGTACAGTAGTAGACAGGGCAGAGGACCGTGTGTGTGGTTTTTAGGTTGTTCAGTTGTGGATTCCAGGCGGCTCTCTCAGTCTTAGCTACGGAGAGTTTGGAATCCTTAACATCATACACCTTTTCCCTACTGATGTAAGTTCTACTGATGTAGGGTATAGCCCCTAGAGGGAGTGGTCGTAATTCAAGGATATGACGGAACTGGTTAAGTGTTGGCTATTGCCACAGAAATCCCAAGGAGTGGGTATCCAACAGTTCATTTGTTTATGCAGTAGTGAAGGCTAAGCAGATCTCCCCTGGCAACAGCTTGTGGTACAACACAATAGTTCAGTCATAGAGATTATGCAGTGGTCACACAGTTCCCTTGGCAAGAGTAGTTATGCAGTATATACAGTGAAGGATGGTAACTGAGGTTTTCACAATGGTAATTGATATCAGCAGTTCAGAGTTTGGAAAACTGACAGTCCATTAATGCAGTCACTATGACGGCTGATACTTGCGGTTGAGGAGGGTGTTCAGAGGGAGACCTGTGGATGAGCTGGTCCAAGAAAGTGCAGGTGACGTTCCCGGGCGTTCGGTCAGTCTTCCAGCAATGTGGCAGGTTCGCGGTGGCTGGAGCAGGCAGGGTGCACACTCCATTAGTGGAACGCCATGCTCAGCTCCTTCCCGGCTTATAAGAGTTCAAACCGCTAGGGGGGAGGAGCCGCACAACGTCAGCGCGTCACGTTGCATTCCACTCTGGAACGCAAGCCGTGATCTAGGTTGTTCTGATTAGGCGCTGCGTTCCAGATGGAACGCAATACGCCGAATCCTTACAGCTATAAATACAAACTTTTTGTTTGCTCTATGTGGCAAAGTAACAGGTTCACTTGAAACAAAGCACACAAATGCAAACACATCCATTTTATCTTGGTTCCCTTGCCTTTGTTTCTTTTCTTTTTTTTTTGTTACAGCTTTTCACATTAAATGTGATCAGACCATCAGAAAAACAAATTGTACAGTATTTTTATGTAGTACACTTAGTTTGAGAAGATAATGAAACATGCAATTTACAGCCCTAACACAAAGAATTGATTCTACATGGCTGGCTTTCAGTCAAGCATTCTGATCATGTATCCATGTATTTTGTTTCAGAAACACCTGCCAGCTAAAATAGCACAAGCTGGAATCCACCCGATATATTTTTGTACTGCTCATTACATTGAGATGTTGATGAAGGTAGAAATGCCACTTGTCTTTTCAGCGTTCCGCATGTCTGGCTTCACTCCCTCCCAGGTAATATTAGTCATGTTCAACTTCTTTTTGATTATTATTGTTTTGTGTTAAACATGGTTTGTATTGCATTGGTTAGGGCTGCCAGTGAAAGCTAAGCTACATTTAGCAATATCCAAAAATGCTAAAGTCATTGCTCTGAATAATTACTTTCTGACTTCTGACTGCATACATATTAATTAAAAGTATCTCACCATTTTCTGTCTCCTAAAAACATTGTTATGCTCTGTAACAATTTCAATTAGTATTCCACAGTACAATTCTTATTTGCATTGGTGAGTATCCATAGCATGATAATGTCATTGGAGAGAGACAGTGATCATTGAAGTTTATTGCTTGAATACAAGCTTGTTTAATCAAAAGATACAAAAAAGTGACAAGGACAGTCTAAAGATTTTTAATAAAACACGATTGTTTTCACATTACCCACATTGTGCTGCAAAAGTATGTATATAGCTGAACTTCAGGCAGATCTAAAAGCAAAAAGAAATGCAGCTCTGTATTCATTAATGCATCATACAATCATACATTTTTATTACACTGTAAGCAATGTAAGTATCTGAATTCAATCTGGTATCATTAGCGTCATGCAGAGCTCAGGTTGGGACAGGGAGAAGCAGCACATGGAACAGATGAGTTGTGATGCAGTGCTCATGTGCTATCAATGAGCATACTGTTAGGAGGAGAAAGCAGAGTGACAATGAGATGGGCTCTGCAGACTCTTACTTCTTCTTCACTTTCCAGTTACAGTGTAGTGGAAGGATAGGCCCTGTAAGTGTTAAACAAAGAAAAATTAGGTCTTACGCATTGCTCGCTCACTTCCCGTTCATCTCCCTATAGAGAGCGGGGACTGTCATTCCCTGCTCTCTGCAGGGACCCCCCCCCTCCCCTCTCCGATCCTCCAGCAATGACTGAAGGAAAGGACAGGGAGGGGGCAGGTACAGCAGGCTCTGCCTCTAGATAGGCAGAGCCCGCTGTCAATCAGCCAGCTTGATGGATCTCAACAGTATTGTTGGGATCCGTCCCGGCTGCAGCTCTCTCAGTATATAGGGAGCAATAGCCCGCTATATACTGAGCTCTGGGTCATGGAAGGGCGTTAGTATATGTCCTCCCGTGATCCTAAAGAGAACTTCGGGATAAAAAAAGGTTACCCCATAGTTCTCTTTTAAATATAAAACATGCTGTGAAAAAAATATGTAGTCTGCAATTACAGACCTATTCTGAAAATGTTCTTTATGTAATGGCACACACTATATTGCAGTAGTACAAAGGTAGCTCACTCACTATATAAAGATATGCTAAGTGCCAAGGTTTTTTTGGATACATGCTGCCTAAATGAAATACTGGGGTTTTCCCTCTATAGAGCAAGTTCAAATACACATCATTAATCCTTGCATGGCTGCTTTGTGCAACATAATTACTGCTCATCTGTCAGTAAAAATATAAAAACCCAACATATGTGTGAACCATGGCACATCCGAAGCAAAAATAATCAAAAAAGCCAAAAATAAAATTATTGACAAAGGAGCAATAATTAAACTGGTTCTCAACATCCCTTTTGTTTCTTGCAATCTTCAGAAAATAAAATACCCAGAACAGACTCTGTCATGCTAGCAGTATGAGGCTGTACAGTTCCTAACTAATATTTTCCTAATCTCCACAAAATCTGGATTATTCGAGACCTTTTTCTGATTTCTTTTATACGTAAATATACTTGTGTAGGTAGCTGGCATTTTCAGCAGCGATCTCCCACTGTTAAATTTGTCACCATCGTGGACGTGCTGAGAACCGCTATTGAAAATGTATTAATATACAACTTCAATTAACTTTGAATGTAGTTGAAATATGTGAAATACATGCTGAGGAAATTAAAAGAGCCATTTCAGTTGCATTTCAATTCCAGCCTTCTTTAATGTGAACTAAATATATTCAAGCAGCAGCTCTAGTCTTCGAAAATAACAGTAGCCCTTGTGTTCAGATAATCAAATATATGAATAAGAAATGTTCATGCTGTATTTTCCACACAGATGGGGGTATATGTACATAGAAGGAAGTAGGGGTTTCTGATATATTGTACCAACTCCCCTGCCAGCACTTGCTTTTAGAATTGTGTGATTGACTTTAGATGTCAATTTGTTCAGGGCCATTTGGGAGATCACAGAAAATTCAAGTTATCTTTTCAGCAATCTGTTGTGGTAATTGTATTGTATTACAGTTTTAGGTTTTCTTATTCTATATCTTTAGTAATGTCAGTCAGCTGGTCATAGGTTTATGTGTGTGTTGAGTGTGCGTACCCTAAACATAGTGTGGGGAATTGATCGAATCTGGAGCAGTTGCCCTTGGCAGCCAATCAGCATGTCCCTTCAGTTTGCTCGGGTAAGATTTGAAAATGAGACAGAGAAGCTGATTGGTTGCAGTGCAAATCTGCTCCAGATTTTGTCTGCTCCAGTTTTGATTAAATCCCCCCAGTATGTTTGTCATATGTCCCATATACATTTTTGTGCCAGACACTAGCTCCATCTCATATTAAAAAATTATTAGTGGAGAGATTTCTACTCTGTCTTGTCAGTCTTTTCCTTCAAGATTTGTTAGCTAGGGGTTTTACATTTGACAAATGATTATGATGAATCCATGTAACAGTAGACTTTATGTAAGAAGGTGCCAGGTCTTGTTAACTGGTTCTAATGCACAGGGCAGTTTAAACGCTACAGACATGTAAGACATTTTATACAGCATAGCCTGTATGGATATACTTCTCTATATATATGTATATATACTTCTCTATATGTTTGTGAAGTAGCTAAGTGTTCTTCCTTGTCTGACCTTCCATTGTTCTCTACTGTTAGGAAGTGATAAACCAATACTACAGACTGAAATTCGCTTAAAATCTGGTAAATTTTGAAAATCTCTGTAAAGGTGGCCATACACTGTACAAGACCTTAGTCTTGCGATGGTTGTAAAGTACTTAAAAAATCATAGTATCTGATTATGTTCAGGTGGAAACCCGTGTATACACAACGGCCGGCCGGGAGCTTCTTGGATGTAACTGGGCGTGTATACACGTCCTGTTACAGCCACCCGCTCGGGCGCGCGGCGCGTGCGAGCGGGAAATGCCCCCCCTCCCGCTGTCAAGCTGGTCCCGGGCTCCGGTGTGAGCCCGGGACCAGCATACTGCCTCTGTCACAGGGGATCAGAGGGAGGTCGGTTCACGATCTCCCTCCGGTCCCCTCTCCGCTGTCAGAATGTGGAAGTGGTGTATATTACATCACTTCTGCATTCGCGTGTCACTCTCCAGCTTCAGATGCTTCATCAGCTTCTTCAGGGGGGTCCTAGGTGACATTAGGGGTCTTGGAGACCCCTGATGTCGCCATAAAAAGGACCTGTCACCTCTTTTGCTATCAGATAGAGGGGTTTCTCAGCCCCCTCTGTGATAGCAATAAAGTTAAGTGAAAAAAAAAAATAGAAAAAAAATGTAGTTTCCCCCCCAATTTTTTAAAAGTTACCCATAAAAAATAATTTAAAAAAAACAAATTTTTTTTAAAGTCCATACCCCTACATACACACATGTAAACATGCGTCAGGTGTGCATACCTGCGAAACCGACGATTGCGCCCATTACGCCGCACATGTTACATATCGCCGCGAACGTCGGAATGAGAGCAATAGTTCTAGGGCCATCAATCACTGATAACACTAAACTGATGAGCTATAAAAGCGTTTAAAGCGTCGCCTATGGGCAATTTTGGGTATGCTAGTTTTTTGCGATTTCGCGAGTGCGCGCAATTTTTAAGCTTGACATGTTTGGTGACATGTATGATGACATAACCTGTCATCTGTGCCTTGATATTAGAGGAATAATGCTGTCAATTTACAACAGCTACATCAGTGTCTTGTAACAAGAATCCAAACAATGTTATGGTACGAGATCCAGAGATATTACATACTACAGGGCAATGTAATGTCATATTACTAGATTTACCTGGACCATTTTACCAATGAGATAGTTGCCATGTCATGAGAGAGTTTGGGCCCATGTTACTTGAGGCATGAGCTGACTTGCAAAATCTGGAACAAATATGGAGCATTAACCCAAAGTTGTTAGTCATATAAAACCTAAGGATTGATTGCATTGCACTTTTGCCGCGTTTTTACTGCAATTTTGCCACAATTTCAAAATTTTGCCGCATTTGGATTTTTTTTTTGCTTAAAATGGTCTTACATGTGCGTTCCTGTGTGTTCCAGTGCGTTTGTATGTGTTTTTTATGTATTCCAGACCAGACAAAATAGGACAAGCAGTATTTTTCTGGTCTGGTCTGGAACGGATTGTGCTGGTGTGAACAGAGGCTAGAAATAGCATAGGGATACATTAGCATGCATTTTGGGTCTGGAAACAATCTGGTCTGGTGTGGAGATGATCTGGACATGGTGTGAATGGGCCGTTACACCAGTTTTTTGGCTTCAGTGTTGCCATGTTACCAGCAAATATGGAACCATGTTATTAGATATATCGATCCATGTTTCCAGACACAGCTATATTAATGAGACAGAGAACCCACATTACCAGAGACACGATTTCCATCCAGAGGCAAATTTGCCAAATCATAGCATGCATCAGTGGATGACGTATGTAAATATATTTAATGTGGCCTGAATTGTTTGGGGTTTGTTTTTGGAAACTCAAAGTACATAATTTCCAGTTACTATTTGTGCTCACCTATTCTCCGTGGGCCTGTATAATTGCAGCAGCGCCTGAATAATAATTCCTGGTTCATCCTTTTCCCCAGAAAACAGAGCCCCCACCCCAGCCCCTTGTACCCAAAGAGCCATAGAAATACATAGTTACATAGTATGTGGGGTTGAATAAAGACATGAGTCCATCATGTCCAACCCATATAGGTCCACACATCATCTCATTCTTATGAATACTTGTACCCCTGAATATTACGGTCCCTCAGGAAATCGTCCAAAAGTTTCTTGAACAATTCCACACTCTTAGCTGAAAT